AGAAATTATTCTAAAATATTACAAACTTCCTTTCTTCATAAACAGAGCATAATTTAACCAACTATTAATAAATTTGGACGTTCTATGAGCATATGCTTCAGTATTATGGTAATATACAGAGTTCTTTGATTATTGTGCAGTGTCTCTGCCTCAGTTTTTGGCATCAGCTGTCATTTCTCACTCCTTTAATTGTAGCTGTCTGTAAGGCTCTCATACCTTTCCAACTTTCTGTTCTGTTTTGTTTGAAGATGAAAAACCAAATCTCCTTATTTGCTATACCATCTTCTACTTAAGTGGCTTCAAATGTCACCCAAATGGTGAGTATTCCCGTCTATTTCCAGCCCAGACCTCTCTGCAGAATCAGAAATGACAGAAATACTTATTTTCCACTGCACTGGAAAAACTCAACTTCTTTCTCCATTACATGATCTTTGGAGAATTCAGGCGGCATAAAGACGTTCTTCCTCTGCTTTTACAGTATTTTGTTATGATACTTATTATATGCCTGCCTCCTGCTCTAGAATGATACCCCCAGATCCCTGTAGATCATTCTTTGTATCCTCTATATCTTACATATTGTTAGGAACTCAAAAAAGTTTCAAAATATGTTTATAATTGATTAAGATTAAATAAAGGTAATATGTGAGTCACTCTTAGGAAACAGAATACATGAGTGTCAGTGCAAGAGTTCTTAGGCAGCTATTTCAGGTGTTTAGAGAACTATTTAGCTTATTTCCAGGTTACTGAAATCAATCATGGATGAAATTGCTGTGTGCATGAGTAAAGTAGGAAAGATACACACCAAGCTGTTAATGTCATTTTCTTAGGAGATTCAAGGGTAGGAAATGAGAGTGAGGAGGGGTAAATAAGTAAAAAATTATTATCAAAACGGTGTGATATGAGGAAGAAAAAATATGATCATCTCCATAAAAACAGAAAAAATATTTGACATAGTATCCATTCATTATTAAAACAAACAACAGCATTGAAGAGAACTTCTTTAAACGAATAAAGGGCATCTGCAAAAACCTAAAGCTGACATCATACTTAATAGTGAAGAACTGAGTGTTTTCTCTCTAAGACTGAGAACAAGGCAAGGATATCTGTACCCATCAATCCTATTCAATATGGTACTGGAGGCTGAAGCCAGTGGAGCAATGAAAGAAAAATAAATAGGGATTAGAAAGGAATAAATAAAAGTTTTTCTCTCTTCACAGATGACATGATTATGCCTATAGAAAAGTCCAAGGAATCCACAGAAAAGCTCCTAAAACA